TTTATTTCATTTAAAGGTGCATTTGCAAACGCGGGTATTCTAGTGGGGACAGTAGCCCTTCCCATTATGGGCATAATATGTATTCATTGTATGCATATTTTGATTAATTGCAACAAAATTCTTTGTCAACGATTTGGATGCAATACGTTAGACTACGAAGAGGTAAGCATTGATTTGATAAATATTATAATATATTGAAATAAATATGACTTATAGGTTGCGAACAAAGCATTCTCTGTGGGACCAAAGAAATTGAAAAGATTTGCCAAAACTGCCGGTTATTGTGTTTCCACATTCCTATTGATTACACAATTCGGCTTTTGCTGTGTTTACGCACTTTTTGTCGCCGAAAACTTACGTCAAGTAACTAAATAAGCGGTTCTTTATTATAAGATGTAATGATAACATTGATAACTATAAACTTTAGGTCTTTAAAGGCTTATCAAACGAAAAAGTGGACCTGGAGGTTCACATCTACATGTTAATGTTGCTTCCGTTCGTGATTGCACTGAATTTTATCAAAAGTCTGCGAACACTGTCAATAGCGTCGGCGGCGGCCAATCTCTTACAAACAACCGGTTTGTTTATAGTCTTCTATAATCTAATCCAAGAGTTGCCGCACACGTGGGAGAGACCGGCTTTCGTCGATATAAAGAAGTTTCCATTATATATGGGAACCGCTATCTATGCGTTCGAAGGCATCGGTTTAGTGCTTCCCCTCCAGAAGGAGATGAGAGAACCGGACGCTTTCGGCGGTCCTATTGGTGTCCTCAACACTGGGATGACAGTCGTTGCCTGTCTTTACACTGGAGTCGGATTTTTTGGATATTTAAAGTTCGGCGACAAAGTGTTGGGATCTATTACTCTGAATCTTCCGCCCGAACCCCTCTATGAGACGTGTCGTCTGATGTTCGCGTTGGCTATATTCCTGTCGTACGCCATCCAGTTCTACGTGCCCTTCAATATAATCTGGCCGTCCGTTCAGTTTCGCTTCAAACTCAAGGCAGACGTCAGGAGAACCCGTGTCATCGAACTCTTTTTGCGCGGATTTCTGGTCGCCTCCACCTGTAAGTCATGGTCACCTCAACTCACAAATTGTTAATTATCTCTATTTGTTTGCAGTCGCATTGGCCGCAGCCATCCCACGATTGGGTCTGTCCTCTAACTCATCATTTCATAAACCATTTCTAATATCAATGCATTCATTCAACAGATCTATTCATATCACTGGTCGGCGCCCTTTCCAGCAGTTGTTTGGCCCTAATATTTCCTCCTATTATAGAGTTGGCCACCAAATGGGATATGAGGAGAGGTTAGTATAAGTGAATTGTCAGAATACAACGTATAGCTAACTGTAAGCAACTATAGAAAGGGGTACGAACTGGTGGCTACTCGTCGCCAAAAACACGTCTATATTCCTGATAGGGATCATCGGTTTCTTCACCGGAACGTATGCTAGTCTTCAGGACATATCAAAAGCTTTAAAAAGTTGATAAGTTATGGAATTTATAATTTTGTATATTATTTATATTATATAAGTTTATTTTGTAATTAAATATTTTATTAATTAAGTTTTATTAATTAAAAAATTATAATGAATGTCAAAACTCTTAATTTAATTGTAAAGTATGTGAATGAAGTGATCATTGGGTGGTGTGATGTGCGGCCAACTGTTGCAACAATATTCTCCTTTGTTTCTCCAATTCTTCC